ACATTGCAGATTCTGAGCATAAAATTCAAATATTTAAACAGAACAAACACAACACTTATTTTATTCAAATATATGATTTCACAAATTAATCCTACATAACGTATTCATGAATAACAATGGTATACTGATAAGTACACCAATACTTGAGGAACTTACCCTAGATATTAAAGGGGAAGAACCAAACACTTAAATATTTTACCAAACATTCCATACTACTTACTCGATGTGAGACTTAAGCACCACATAATACCGAACTTCCTATTAGAGCCTCGTCTCTAATAGGTGATGTCCTGACAACTTTTTACTTGGTGACACTTCACTCAACTTCCTGTTAGTCAGAACTTTCCACTGATCAGAACCCTCCGTAGGTAGCCCTTTTCTGAGACATTGACAACTAGGTCTGAGACTAAGACAAGTTGAAAGACAACCTTTTTCTGTTTCCTTTCTCTCTCTCTCAAGAACTACAATAGTGATTCTCCTATAATTTATTATGGGTTGATTTCTAATACTCCCCCTCAACCTTGGGAATAAATATTAGCCATTCCCATGTTGCCAACATTAAACTCAACAACATCTTTGTGAGCATCTGCTTCCTATTGCAATGGTAAAGTTGTACCTTGGTGAATAGTAGGTCATGAGTTTATATCAAGAATACTCCTAAAAAACAGGTGGGCGTATAGAGTTTGCTAGCATACACTTATTCTTTTAGAAGGAATATGTTAGCAAGCTATAACTACAAATTTCTTAAAATACACCTAGTACATAAATAGTTAACTTATTCCTTTTAAAATATAAGAGGTTGTAAGTTAGTATGATGTATATTTCATGAATGAGAAGACAGTGAATTAATTGAAATTAGATCACAAATCAAATGATTCACTCCCCCTCCAAATTATCATGTCCAGGTTTGAGGAAGATGTCACAGGATATTCATGTCCAGCAAAAAAACCAAACCATGTCAAGAAACCAAAGGTTAAATATCAATAGGCTCTCAATAATTTAAATTAAATGAACATACCTGATTTTGCCATCATAGCAGCCAATCCTACAGTCTTCAAACATATGGTTTTACCACCAGTATTAGGACCAGTTATAACTATAACACGAGTTTTCTTAGACACCAAAAAATCAACTGCTACTGGTAGGGCATTGTCTGTGCCATCCTGACTAGCAGAAGTACTTTATCATGAGTAATCACCAAATGCATGATAAGCACATAAAATAAACACATTCAAAGTTTCAAACAGCATATCAAATGTCCAGAAAAATAAAATAAAATATCATATACATTGGTTTCAGTGGAAGAACCCTAAGGCAATTTCCTAAAACCCCAAGTTACATTTCTCCTCTTTATGATGTATTCTTTTTGTCAAAAATTTTTCTTAAATTTTCTCTTGGGAAGAAAATAAGAGGTAAATGGAAGTAATTGATCAATATAAGCAACAATCAGGAAGACCTTGTTTTTTAAGCCTACCTAGATTGAAAAGCGTGCAATATTACAGACAATCAACACGAATGCCTTTTATCAAAGATTTCCGACCAAGGAATAGAAACCACTCTCCCATCCATTCATCAATAAAACGATAAATAGGGGACACAAATTAATATGAACAAAACAGTGGTTTTCTGTTTTTCAAAATACATTTTCTTAAATGCATCCCCCAATAAAGCACTAACGAAATATATTTTTCATGTGTCACATGTTTAAACACGTTTAGTGTTCATAGGCGTTAGTTGCATCACATATAATCCTAGGGAGATAGTAGTCTTCACTAAGTCTATCAAGAGAGTATAAATTAGTATGTAGTGTTTATCTCCTCTCAAGTCCCCCACCCCCTTTTCTTTAAACTTAACATGTGGCATCTTTGACTTAACTGATGTAGCATGATTGACGTCCTTTTTGGTCTTCCGCAAATTCTCCCTATGCCTATGGAGCAAAAGAGGATGATAAGCTTTTAAAAGATACAACTTCCATTCCCTTTTTTTGGGTAATGGTCCATAGGAATTTTCATTCCTTCTTGAGAAGGCATCTGTAGTAGAAGCGCTGCTCCTGTCTGGCAAAAATATATGGGGACTTGACCCTCCAAATGAAAGTCCATAAGTAGCACGAGCATTAATCTGCATAATAGGATCCACATTAATGACTGTCTTTTCGAACAATAAGAAAGATTATCATGTCATCAAATATACCTACCAAAGCAAGCTCTTTAGTCTGTAAGCAATTAAGTGGGGTAGCCATGGGGGCACTAAATCCTAAGTTTACACTTACACTAACACTATTATTTTAAGTATAGTCATAAGTAATTTTAAGGGCAATCATAAGTATAGTCAACTCCATTGGACCTCTTAATGTCAGATGCAATAAAAAGTGATCAGAACAAACACAAAATTTGTTCAAAAGCAAAATATTGTGGAATCCTAAAAGCATATGTGGAAACTAAGCCTAGTATAAAAAATTAAAGCTTAAAAAATTGCACAGAAGTTGATAGGATATGAATGTGGGCCTTAGAAGGAAGGGAAGACAATAATAAAATATAGTTCTTAGAGGGGTTTAGGGGTCTGTTAGGACAGTTAGGAAGCAGGGGGTAGGATAACTGTCCTGGTGGGGTGTTATGTTCAGCTTAGGAGGAGTCTTTAAATAGGGAAATGGTTGTCTAGGGAGGGGACGTTTTGAGAGATCATTGTTGACAGGTATTGACCTGTGAAGAGGGTTAAGCCTCTGTTCTCACTTTTCATTCTTTTCTTTGTGTTTTGCGGTGAGAAGAGTTCTTGATTAGGTTCCCAGTTCTGGAACCTATCAGAAGTTGTCTAGTCTCCTAAGTCTTGTTTTTGGTCGTGTTGTCTTTGTCTTTGTCTATGTAAATAGTTAGTTTCGTAGGACATTGGATCCTAGAGCTGGTGACCCATAGGTAAAGCTCGGATTTTAGTTCCTTTCATTTTAGGCTTTTGATATTATGTTGAAAGGATTAGTAACAAATGAAGTGCTGAAGATGGTATCGCTCTAATACAATGTCACCTAACTCAATCTCATAATCGGTTGTCAGGTAAGGTTTGCACTTACTTATATACTGTGAATCTGCCTTATTTCTAGCTAACATGGGACTTCCAACACACCCCCCTCACACCGAGGCATATACATCTCGTGCGTAAAATTAGATATTAATGGGTGACTAGACATTAACTTAGGCTTAAAGTCCACTTCTTAACATGATATCATATTCAAGTTCAGATCCTAGGACCTGTGGCTTAAGGGACTGTTAAGAAGTAGACTTTAAGTTTAACTCAACCTTACAAAAACCAACTTGTAAGGTGAGGTTTGCACCTACTTATATAATGTGAATCTACCTTATTTCTTTCTAGTCAACGCGAGAACTTCCAGCAAGAAGAAACAAACCAATAAGAAATATAATGAATTCCTTGTGTTGTTTATACACGAGTTTTCTTATTTATAACGAAGAAGAAGTACAATAATAATAAACAAAATTCAATATCTAATAATGGAAAATATGTGGTAAGATATTTCCCATCAAATTATATCATATCTCCTTATTTAATGTAATCAAATCATATTTGTAACATAAACAAAATGAATCTCATAGGTGAATAAGTGCATATGGTGGATTATAAAGAGAGAAAATGAAAAGTAGTGATCCACTTCACTTTAAAAAAACCACTAGGTATTTACCACATCTAGTTGAACCAAACTGTTCAATATCTTTTCAATATCTTCAACGTCCAACTGCATCTGTACACAAATTAAGACATCATATGAGAAGAAAAGAACGTGACCATTAAAATCTTTATAATATGGCATTCATAACCTTTTTGGTTAATGTCAAAAGCACATCTGCTTCAGCCTTTTCCACTGAACTTCTTGCTCGCTGCAACTCATCATTTAAAGGCACAACAGAAAGTGGCTCTATAGTACTTCCAATTCCTGATCCACTGCCAACAAATACTATCTTAAGGAATGGAATTTACGTGTACATACTAGCTTTATTAACAAACATTATTTCATGAACAATAAATGATCAAAGTTATGTTGATAAAATTTTGTGCACCTGGACAATAATAGACCCTTAAAACTTGTCTTTTGTCTAGAATCAACTTTTATGCACCACCTGCCATCTACATTATTCATTTCCTGTTTGATTTGTTACAAATTCAACACAGAAAGAAACAATTATACGGAAAAGAAATACATGTAGAGTCAAGTGAATCTTACAAGAATTGAGGTTTCACTCCTTTCACTCCTGATTATGTTCTCTATTAGCTGTTTTACCTGAACATAGGAATTAAATAATCATAATGGAATGTATAAAATGAACTCTTATAAAGTAAAATAAACATACATATATTGCATGTCTGACAATATAGATATACTAATACACCATATTACATATTAAGTGTGCGAAAGAATTCACTGCAAAATAACAATAATGTGGAGAAGAGAATATATTTAACAGATATAGAACGGGTTCAATGGTGAGGTATAAATTGGAAGAGGAGAATAGTTCTGTACACTAATTTGGCCTAAAAATCAGGAAAATAATTATTCATATAACTGCTGTAGCTATAAAGAAGGAAAGACATTCTAATTACATCGAGCATTAACAGCATAAATCAGACTGTATTAATCTTGATTGATTTCCATATACAAAAATACCTTGATTCTGGTTTCTTTCCTTAATTTTCAACAATATTATATCAGTATTAACTCCAAATCTGAATTCAACGTTCTCCTAATCAATTTCCACATGTTTTATTCTATCAAGATGCACAAAACCTTTTGCAGTGCTACTGGCAGCTCTATTATTGCATAATAAACTCATTGTATAATTAGTATATGGACCTTAAGCTCTTAAAGCATTCTTTGTATCTATATTCCTTCACAAATTCCACGGGACATAGCTCTGAACACAGCTTCTGCAATACTCATAGCAACAAAAAATTGTGTCTTACATCTTCAAGTAACTAGTTTCTCCCAAACAAATGGAGCGTACCCACAGCATTGCCTTTCTGTTCAGTCACCGACCCACCCAATTTGAATCAAAATTTTTACTACATATAGCAGTCGAGCATTATCTTGATATGAGCCCTCTTCTCGGTGTTTTCATTCAAGGTATTGTCAGAAACGGTTTACCCCTCTCATGTGTGCCTTGTTGGGCCATTCATGTATGGTCTTACCTTGCTAATAGACTGACCAATGACAATCCAAGTGTATGTTAGATTGACAATCTAAATTTGAAGGAGAACCAAGAAAATTTGTTACCTAGTGATTATTTTTAGGTTCTGAGTATTGATCAGAATCTAGGTTTTGCCTCATAAGTGTGCAACATTTCTGCCTCAGTTTTAGTTTTCTTTTTCCTTGAGTGGACTGTTAGTTCTTTATCTTTGAGAGCATTAGAGATATAAATATAAACATTCAGTTATTTAACGGATGTTAGTTAGATATCTGTTTTAGTGCTATGATCAGTTAGTTACTGTTGCAGCCTCTTGTTGAGCCTATATATGCTCAGCTTGTATCTTCTTTCTCATTCAATGCAATTATAATCCATTCTCTTCCTGCTAACCCTTTCTCTGTTTTCTCTCACCTAAAATTTGGATACCCTATCTAATGAATCAGAATCTAAGTCTCTACCTAAGCCTCCTAATAGTTACTCTATGCAAACACGATCTAAATCCAGTCTTCATAATCCTAAAATTCATCCTTCAGTGTTTTTAATCAGCCTTGTAGTGTTAAAGGCAATGAATAATCCAAATTGTGTTCCAACTATGAAACAGGAGTATAGTGCTTTAATTCTAACAACAGCGTGAATCTGGTTTCTTTACCCCCAGACAGAAAAACAAATAACTTACTAACTTCCAGCTGAGTAACTGAATGTTTACATTTATATCTCTAACAGAGAGCATAGTATCGGAGGTACTCCTTACCATTGTAGTTCTAAGGACTTGAATGTGACTTGAAACTGGGTTTGCGATCACCCCTCCCCATCCTCCACCACCCCTTTGGAAATTTTCAAAGGCACTTGAATAGTAGGAGGGAATGAAGAAATATTTTATTAATACAATCCAGCTAGTTACATCCTCAACTCTATATGCAACAATCACATTTTCTTAAAAACATAAATAAAATTTGTTGGAATGAATGTGCAGATTCTAGGAATATTTTTTCATATTATTATACAGAGATATTAGAATATTTTTATCCTACTGATCCCATATATACCACACTCCCCCTAAAGTTCATAATGAATATAGATAATTTCCAACTTATCTACAAGATATTAGAATCTGCCTGACCGAGTCTATAGCAAAGATGTTTTGCTAACTAAAATCTAGTCCTATAGAACAATGGGTTGTAACCATCATACCTCTGTCAAGATTATCTTTGTTGATGAAGTGCTTATCAATTCCAATATTTTTGGTCCTGTAATGTTGTACTTGATTGTGAGCAATGTTCATGGCTGAATTGTTATCATAGCACAATTGCATAGGTATGTCAACATTTATTTTAAGGTTATCTAATATGATCTTCATCTAGAGTACTTCATACATACCTTGAGCATGGGATCCAAATTCAGCTTCTACACTAGAACAGGATACCCTATTCTATTTTTTGGCTTCCCCATGTCCCAAATTCTCCTAGAAATCTACAACACTAGAGGTAGATTTTTTTGCCATAAGAGAACCTACATAGTCTGCATCAGTAAATATCTTCGGGTTAAAGTGTTGTCTTTTCCTAAAGAGTATTCCCTTTCTTAGGTTTAACTTCAAGTAATGAAGATTTTGTCAACTGTTTGGCATGTGTCTTTCTCTTGGACCATGCATAAATTAGTTTACCACACTAACTGCATAAGTAATATTTCATCTTTTGAGGTTCAACATCCCAACTTACCTATTTCTTTGAGGAGATAAAGTACAAATTCTCTTTTGGGAGATGAGAATTCCATTTTTTGAATAAGTAACCTCTACTCCTAGGAAATACTGAAGTTTTACTTGATCTTTGATTTCAACTTGTCCACCAAATTTTCACATTTAAAGCAATTATTGTTTTCAAAACACAAATCATCAAAATCATCAACATCATCCTCGACTCCGACAATAATCATGACCTCCACATACCCGTAGGTAAGTTTAACCTATAAGAGAGTGCTAAATTTTTTTTCTCAATTCTATTTTTTATCTAAATACCTGAGATAGCCATAAATAAATCTTTCTGTTGACTAATTTCTTTGTCAAACATTCAAATCTAAATCTCAACTAAAAACTATTAAACTATATACATCTTTGGTGGAGCCAGTATGTACAGAACCAACAGTAATAAAAATAGTAAAAATAAACAAGAGTTACCTTTCTCTCTGTCACTTGCACTTGTTGTCGCGAATGTTTAAGGGCTGGACTCTAAGAAGAATATGTGTTTATGTTACAAATTCTTTTGCATAAAGTGAACAATGTAAAACTGACAGTCAGCTGTATGACAAGAAAAGAAAGATGCATAGCTAAAGTATTCTCTTCATTGAAAATGTTTACAAAAGAATGCTAAAAAAAGTTTTAAGAAAATCTATGCCACCTCAAACCAAATAAAATGAGTGGCTAACCACTGTCACAATATGCAGAACTACAAAAGGGGAAACTTGAAAAGACATGAAACAAACCGCAGAGTCCTTAATAGATCCATCTTCATCAACCACTTGCTCTATCACTTTAATTAAGGACCGATTGATGACAAATTCCAATATCTGCAAGCATGTTTAGGTGAGTGAAAAAAGCCAGAAACATTAATTATACATGAATGACACGTTCAAAATCTCCATTTACCAGTTCTGTAAGAGGCATGAAACGACCATGCCAATCTTTGTCTTCCTTAATTGCAGCCTTGAGATCACCCTGCAAAATTTCAGCACACTGCAGAAGAGTGACAATGGCCCGTGCCTCACTGCCACTCACTGGTGTACTTCTCCGGGCATGTTGAATGGCGGTTTTGACCTACAGGAACCTTGATTAGCAACTTGGCAGAAAAGAAAACAGAAAGATGAAGAACTGTTTTGTGTTTAATTGCAAATATTAATATAATAACTATAAAAGGAACCAATTTATACACATTGGTTACTGACCAGCATAGCATCAAGGTGCCCCAAGTGCAATCTGAGAGTGCCATGCCTGTGCATTTCAACAGCAGCATTGGTTTCCTCGAGAAGGAAGACATTTTCTTCGAAAGTTTGATTCAGAGACCATAGCTGGTCCTGTCACATGAACACACGACATCATAATATGGAATAAGACATGTTTACATATCTAACGTGTACTGTATAAGGTGGACGATCGGTACTGGGTGTTGAGGGCGATCCACTGGAGGTGACCAACGCAGCAGTGAATAACCGATCGAAAGACAATTAATGGCATTAATGTGTATTAAAGGTGAGTAACCCCTATATCGTGCGAAAGGAATTTATAGCTAATTAATGGGTAATATCAGCCACATTATACCGGATATAAAGACGTTAGCGAATGATTAGGCACAAGATTTATTGCATTAAAGGGCATTAAATGACGTCCAATGGACTGGATGATTACAAAACCTATAAATACAGCACTAATGACCAGGTACATTTGATTTTTTCTAATTTGATAGGAGACCTTGGCAGACACCCACTAACTTGAGTGTCAAAGTGTTTCCTTGCAGATCACTCCACTGAACCGATCGGAGAAGGAGATCTAAATCATTTTACACAGGAAGAGAGCAAGCAAATGGAGCAGAGACCTCAGATCCGCTTTAAACATAAAATAGGAAAAAGTTGTAATTTCATTATTTAGTTTAGATAGCCTATTTGTTTTACACCAGCAATTATTATTTTTACACCGTGCTCACATTTCAACGTTAAATACGTTCTTGAGGTTAATTTAACACACATTTCACATGCATAATCTATTTGAGCAAAATGAATTCTATCCCAACTTTAAATGTTTGGTTTCATGTTGAGTCATTCAAAATCACGATGAAAATATCAGCTATCGTAATTTTAAGTAAATGTTCACAAAATCAGTCCCATGTTGAAGAATTGTTAATGAATCCAAAATTGATTTTGAGTTGAAGTAACTTTAAGTAGCTTTTGTGTTTAATCAGAGATCGTATATTGAGCTTTTTCTATTCCCTTGCTTCTTCCCTCTAAAATCAATTCTAATCAAAACCAAATTCATTCAATATCAAACTTCTTCCAAAAAGCTCAACAGGCATAAGAAATTAAACGAATACTTGGTCTTGAACTCCAACCAATTAAACATAATATTATTTCATTCATCCATTTGCATAAATTTCAATGGACTCAACTCAACCCAACCAAACACAGGAAAAAAGGCTGAAAAAAGGGACCTTGAGGGCCTGACGACCCAAAGAAGTGGTGGCGAAGGAAGCGACTACATCGCAAAGCTTGTCCCATTCGAGGACTCTGAGGCTGTCATGGTGAATAGAAGCTGAAACCCTTTGCCTTAGCCTTTGCAGATGTCTCTGCTTCCATTTGTTAATGGTGATTACTGGAACAACAGGTATGGTTATTGCGAAAGATAGCATTTTTATGTCAAGGGTATTTCTTCGAACAATTGGGTTCTAAAGATTGCACAGCAATGGTGCTGAGAGGATGAGCAGAGGAAGCAACACCACAACAGTTAGAGCAGGATTACTCATTACAACAACTTTCGCTGGTGAACCAGCTTTGAGAATAAAATATAATACTACCAAAAATTATTAATGATTTAAAAAGATAAAACATGGTTTTGTTTCTCTAAAAAAAATTAAATTTGGTTTTCGTTCGATTAAAAAATTACCCTAATATTTTCTTTTAATTCAGAATTTTTTTTTAGTCTTCAAAATTACTATAGTTAAGATTTGATGACAATGATAAATAGTTGTAAAACATGTCTGTGGACAAAAGTATAATACTTTTGAAAAAAATGGAAGACGAAACTTGAACTTTTTGGAAAAATTAAAAAGAAAAAAACAAAGGATACTTTATCCTAATTTAAAAATATAATATTATAATTAGAAAACTGGTATGTCAGTTTTTAATTATATATTTTTTAAAATAAAGACAAAATGACAAGAGAATTTTTTTAATTTCTTCAATTGGAACAAAGAAAAAGTAAATGGCAGAAAATAAATTCAAAAATAAGATTTTAAGGTCAAAAACTAATTCTAGAGACATGTTAATTAAAATGTACCTTAAAGAAAAAATAGATGTTCTAGTTTTTTGAGATAAAAAATTATTATTATATTAAATAATTTATTTTAATATATGTATAATAAAAAAGAATATTTGACATCAATATGTTAGGGACAAAATTAATGTAAAAAAATAAAACTTATTTTCACTCAAAACTTTTAAGATAATATATTTATGATTTTTTTATTTATTTACTGTTCACTTTAATCACTTTTACCCAATATAAGATTCGCCTAGAATTTGTAAGTGTGTATGTGTTAGGCATTCTTAATTACAGACTGAAAAATTCATTAAATTAATCTTCATATTTAAGTTTAGCTATTATGTTACCAACATGACATTCAAATAATATTACTATATTTATATTTAGATGGCATAAGACTGTTTTACAGAGTGAAATAAGACTTCGAAAAGGTATATTATAAAGTATACCAATACTCTTCTTGCAATCAGTTATATTTCTTATCTTATATTTAAACAGTAAGAAGAAAATTTTCACAAATAGATGATAATCTGTTCACATTTCATTGGATAAATATGTGAAGTTAAGAAATGCAGAGGAAAGTGGGAATATGCGGTACACATTCTTCTGTAGGTTAGGGGCATGGTCAATCAAATTTTCCAATTATTGGTTATATTCTTCAACATTTGGGTTGCTATTAATTGAGGTTACAATCTTACTGTTATAGAATTAGATTCCGTGACAGATATCGAGTTTTTTATTCCTTTTGCAGACTTTGTAAGGAAGATAATGCATGCAATGGAATGCTTTTAGAGAAGGGAATAAGGTACTGATGTTGATTTAATTTATCAAGTTTCTGATGACATTACTTTATGTTTTTCTATCTTCTGTTAATTCTATTCTTAGTATTATTGTTTCCTTCTAAACTAGAATTGCAAACACTAATTCGAATAAGACTTTTTTATATCCGTTAAAAAAGTATTTATATCAGTTTTTGAACCATCATAAATATAAAAAGACCACATTCTATGTTGTAATAACTTACATAATGGTAATAGATCGACAAAGAAAGTCTACTAAGTTGTAATAGAAGTCTTTAATCAAACATTGAAATTAGTAGGAGTAGAATAACTTACATAATTTGAGTTACATTGTTTAGTTACACCTTATACTCTATTTCCTTTGTATATATATCAGCATGTGTCTAAAACTCCATTATCTTTCTCACACACTTACACATAACACTACACACTGAGGCACCAAATTCAACTCATTTCTTAATGGTTTCCAATGGAGATGAAGAATCAAGCAACCAAGTCCAACAATCTGAAACCTGTAAAAGTTCACGATTACCCTTTTTAAGGTACAACTCGCCACTAGTTCAAGTGATCCTCGTTGGTGTTGTCTGCTTTTGCTGCCCGGGCATGTTCAACGCTCTCTCAGGAATGGGTGGTGGAGGCCAACTGAACCACACTGCCTCCAACAACTCCCTCACTGCCCTCTACACCACTTTTTCCTTGTTTGGCATCCTTGGCGGCGCCATCTACAACATCCTAGGACCTCACCTTACCCTTCTCGCAGGATGTTCCACCTACGTCCTCTACACATCCTCCTTACTTTACTACAACCATCACCACCACCAAGCCTTTGCCATTCTTTCCGGTGCTCTCCTTGGTGTAGGAGCAGGCCTCTTGTGGGCAGCACAAGGTGCAATCATGACATCTTACCCTCCAACCAATAGAAAAGGTAGAAAGAAATCTTCGCTTTATGGTTTGACTCAATTATATGTGTTTGAAACTTTGTAAATAATTGATCTTGTAGGATTGGATTAGACTTCAAATTTATTTCTTGATATGGTATGACAGCCTACAGACAGCTGCTTTTGTGTTTACTGCCTTAAAAAGTGAGAATGTATGCTTGAAGTGCTTCAAAGGATGATTCAAACACTCCTTAAGATGCTAGTTTCATTGCATCAGATCTATAAATAGGAGAATCTGTCGTGTGTCTATCTTAGGAAAATGTCAGAAAACATGTTTATGTTACTAGTTACGAAATAAAAAGCAAAATGTTTTATATTGATTTTTTTACTAATATTCTGAGATACTGATTATCACAACTGGTTTACGATGAAGGCACTTACATATCTATTTTCTGGAGCATCTTCAACATGGGTGGAGAAATTGGTGGCTTGATTTCCTTCATCTTTGAACTACCATCGTAGTGAGGCTGCTTCTTGGTGATGATGGAACCTACATAGGTTTCATGTGCTTTATGTCAGTGGGGACCCTCTGTCGTTGGCCATCTTGCCTGCATGCAAAGTGTTCGTGATGATGGGAGTAGGTGCAGCAGCATGGTGTACTCCAATGTGTCCACCGAGTGTGTGGAAATTCGCAAGTTGTTTTCCAATTGGAAGGTGCTTCTTATGGTTCCCACAACTTGGTCCAAAAACTTATTTTACCCTTACCAGTTCAATTATGTGAATGAGACACTTTTTAATTTAAGGAAGAGGGTTCAACAGTGTGTTCTATTGGGGGGCTCAGATGCTGGGTTCTGTTGGGATTGGTTTTCTGCTAGATTTCAGCTTTGAGAGGAGAAGGGTGAGGGGGTTGCTGGGAGTTGTGGTGGTTGGTGTTCTTGGGACTGCAATTTGGGGTGGTGTACTTGCTAATCAGCTTAGGTACAACTCCAATGTTTTGCTGGACCTTTTGTCCTTTACTTTGGTTTTGGATTGCTAGATGCCATGTTCCAAAGCTTGGTCTATTGGGTTATTGGAGCCCTAGCTGGTGATTCTGAGATCGTCAACAGGTAAATTAATTCAGACTAATTATAGTAGTGTATGCGGGTAGATTAATACGTAATTCCCATGAAATATTACTGAGAATTGTGTTAATGAAGTTATTAACACCGTTTAATACAAGAGTATTTTAGTGTAATCCCTATACATATTTTATTTCTATCATGCTAAATTTCTAAACATAGCTTCTGATAACTGAACATTCACATATCCGATAATAGTGTTTCATAATAACAAATGCAATTATAAACTTACCATATATGCTTTCTAGAACTTTGTTTGATACTTAAATAAACTCTAGGAGCTAGTTCGTAGATTGAATATAATCATTAATATACACTATTGTAGTCAAATTATTAAGCAGAGGTTCTGCATCAGATTATCAACCGATGCGTTTTCTTGAAAGTACTCATTAAAAATGAAAAAGATCATATATATATATATATATATATAATATTTGCTTATATGTGCCTTAGTTTCTAGCACTTGGTGAATGAAAAGATGTAGTGAATGAGTTATGTAAATATGTATATAGGTGTAGGGGTTTGTTTAAAGGAATACATAGTGCAGGGATTGTTGTTGCATAGTAAGTAGATGAACATAATGTGTGTTTGATGTCCTAGTTGGTAGTGAATTGGGTGCTCACAACAATAAGCTATCAATTACTCTTTATTTTGGTAATGTTTGATGTGAAAGATGAATAGGGAGAATGTATATACAAGAGTGAGGAACCTGTCATGGATCAAGTTTGTTCTATCAACAGCAGATGATAATATAACGATGTCCTTTCATGCTTGTCTTGTAAATTTCGAGTTTTATTATTTTATATCTTTTTCTTCAGTTGACACTAAGAATACATCGTGTTTCAATTTTGACTCTTAAATTAATGATTGAAATGAGCATGTTAAAATTTTATAATTTAGTGATTATGTGACTCATTGAATGTGAGGTTAATGAGTGTCCTAGAATTGAAAGAAGATGCTCAACCGACTTTTGGAGTGTGCTGGAATTGAAACATATGCAAGCATAAATACTCCATGATCTTTATTTAATTTGTATTGGAGGTATATTGCCTCGGTTTAGTAGGAACCGAGGCGAAAAGTCCTTTGAAAAACAAAATCAAATACCTTACAGCATCGATTACTTGTGAACCGAGGTAAAATCCTACCCCTTTTGGCCTCGGTTCACAATCGAGGCAAAAAGGGGTAGACTTTTTGCCTCGTTTGTATATGCCTCGGTTCAGGAACCGCTGCCTATGGGCTAAAATAACTATTGTCGTTTACATTAATTGCATTAGGTTCAAACCAGGAAATAGCTTGGTATCTCCTCACCCATTGCTCGTGTTTAGTTGACATTAGGAAGTGAATATTTTAAGTGGGTTCTATATCTTAAATAATTTCTAAGGGTTTCTTTAAATGGCAAAATGTGTTTTGCATTGGGAAGTTGAGTAGCGTCTTGGAGTAGGGGCAACAGTGAATTATAGATCCTTGTGTATTTCTTTTATGGGCATTGAATGATGTTTGGATCCCACTTTGACTTAAGTTAAAGGTAGTTTGCATGTTTCGCGTTAATCCTTGAAAAGTCGGGGATGTATATAAAATTTAGAAGGGTTAAATATGTTTTTAGTCCCTAAACTATCAAGCAAATTTGTTTTTAGTCCCTCTTTCAAACTAAGCTACATTTTGATCCTTCTCCTTGAGGAAAGGATAATTTTTCGTCCTCCAAAACT